AGGGTGAGATTACATGGAGTCTGGCAGTCTGCAGACTGGCAGAATCGCGCTAAGTTTAAATTATGTTTAAATTATAACATCTCAGAATAATTTAGTAAAATAAAGAAAAAATTGTAATTATTGTCATAACAGAATAAAGGCTTAGTTACAATCAATTTCATTAACAATAAAACGTGTCAAATATTATTTAATAACTTTTTTTATAGATTTATGTTAACATTGCACAGTCGGTCAGTAGGGTCACTGATGTAACCTGGTATGTATAGCATAATGTAACTGTGACAAAACGTTTTTCGTCGCCTTTTTATCATAAATATTAGTTAATACAGAAATGCAAATGTATTACGATAATTATTTCTTTGCATACGTAACAGGTTTTAAATATAAATATTGAAACATATTTTAAACTTAGCGCGATTCTGCCAGTCTGCAGACTGCCAGACTCCATGTAATCTCACCCTTAAGTAAGCAGTTATTGTTATTTCGATAATCATAATCCCTAAACTACGCATGCGCATTATCGTTATTTTTGGTTATATAGGGATTATCGAAAAAACTGCTTGTGTTACTTAAGCGAGATATCGAATGCCCCGATCAGACCTCTGTTCGATATATCCCGAAACTTGCGCACTAATTTTGGTTCGTTCTAGTGGTCCAATACGGATGCGTAACGCATCATGCGTTCCGTAAACTACGGAAGCTCCTATCCGCCATCTATAGGCAAGCTGCTTGCTTTCCTCAAAATAGACAATGCAACTACTTGCGTTGCCCAAAAAGCATAATCAAAACAAAGCGTCATAACCTGTTTTCGGATCTTTCAGCAAATATTTTTAGTGCTTACTAATTTTGAAAGTACATACATAAATTTTAGTAAACGGGTAACTATTATGATCATCCATTTATCATTAAAAAGTGAACTGTGGTTCTAACTACGCAAGTAGTTGCATTGCCTATTTTGAGGAACGAAAGCAAAAGTAGCTTGCCTATAGATGGCGGATCGGAGCTTCCGTAGTAAACACTGGCCGTTTAATCCGAGTATTTAGATAATTCGGAGATAACTTATTAGTGTGAGAGAGATAACATGTCATACTTTTCCCCTTAAACCTAAATGTCATCTATAGTCATCTATAGTCATCTATACGATCAGAGATCTATATCGAACGGTATCGAGCTGTATATAGGAGCTATTCACATAGACATTTTTTGCTTATTTCATTGTGAACGTTCATATTGAAAAGGGGGTTTCATTACACTGTTCTGCTAAACTCAAATTGAGTGAACAGACTAAACAGACCTATACTGTGTTCTCTCAACTTCTGTCAGTCAACATAGTTGCGATCAGACTCCAGAGGCCATATATAGGCTTTGTTGCCTGATGGAAAAAGAAGTATAGGTATGTTCAGTCTGTTCACTCACTTTGAGTTTAGCGAAACAGTGGAACCCCCTTTTTAATATGAACGTTCACAATAACATAAGCAAAAAATGTCTATGTGAATAGCTCTAATGGGATAACGTGACGTTCCATATGTATATGCTCTAAGTCGAAAACTCACCACTCACCACACTGTACCACACACTGATTTAGATTGGCAAAGAGGGGCATGGTTTTAAGACGTCATTGGCCTTGAGCCGTGTAGACCAAGAGCTGAGGCCGAAGGGTGGTCAAAATTTTAACTAGCCGCCACTCTCACCAAAATTGAGGAACCTTATGATTCGTGGAGATCCGGAATATTTTGTCATATTTCATAGTGGTGAAGAGCTATGTGATAATTATAGTAGTGCTGTATAATCTTTTTTATCGACTAGCCGCAACTTACACCAATAGATAAAAAATAAAAAGTTGTCATCTGAAAGTGCCATTTGCAGCAAGATTAGAATGTATCGTGTACCCAAAAATCGATCTATAAAAATATAGACTCCCTACCCGATCTTATCTATAATACTCATCTAAGATAATATGTGACGCATTGTAGATAACAGTATAGATAATAATACGATATCTATATTTTTTTAGGTCGATTTTCGGGTACAAGATGGATTTTTATCTTGCCGCAAATGGCACTCTCAGTTGACAATTTTTTATTTTTTATCTATTGGTGTAAGTTGCGGCTAGTCAATAAAAAAGATCATACGGCACCACTATAATTACCACATAGCTCTTCACCACTATGAAATATGACAAAATATTCCGGATCTCCACGAATCATAAGGTTCCTCAATATTGGTGAGAGTGGCAGCAAGTTAAAATTTTGACCACCCTTCCCTTCGGCCTCAGCTCATGGTCTATTTAAAAGTGCATTAACAAACACCAACTTTATATAATAACAATAACTAAACAAAAAATAAAATATAATTTGGATCATACAGCCTCAAAAGAAGGTTAGATGGACATCACATTACTTCGATTTTTCGATGTATCGCATTGATAACAACATTTTGTCAATACACAATCGAATTGTCCATTTAAGTACTTGGCACTTGCCCGTACAAAAGCATCATAAGTAGTTAAGTATCATTTGTGTTTATTTTTGCTTTGCAGTGTCGAATTACAAATTGCAGATTGCATCTTATGCAGGTAAACAGGCGCTATGTGTAAAGTGCACGAGCATTGAATGTATATGTAGAAGGAAAAAGAGATAGAACGAGGGAAATGTTTTTCTCATATATTTAGCTCACCAAGGGAAGTTAGGTATACTAAAAGCCAAAATTCTATCGCTATAACTCCGTTTATACATTTGTGTGTATTGACGAAGACAGTATGATGATTTCTTCTTAATTATGAATCAAGCTGCTTGACTTGGACTGTCGGACGCTTCGACGTAAGTTTTTTTTTTTTCTCAACTCCATCGTCAAATCGACCCTTTTCACCCTCAAATTTTATATCCGGATATCTCAACCAACATCAAATGTTGTTTTACCTCGTTGATTACGGTCAAGAACAAAGGACGCAAGAAAGCAGGTTATACGTTCATAAAATCATGGTCGTGATATAAACATTTGTTTTCATCTGCTATTGAAGCTTTAAAATTAATGAATACCGTCTGCTCTCATGACCTTTGCGCTGCTTGTAGAATTTTTGTCAGCTCACTGATGTGCTTGCGGTTGAGTACTTCCATGTACACTTGCAGCTAATTTAACTCTCATATTTTCGTAAATCGTGAAATAATGCCCATGCCAAAAGCACTGACCCTCCTATTCGTGACCTTTTCGCTAACTCGAATTCAGTTGCTCGTTAGTTCTGCAATAGCAAAGGTTACCTCTAACATAGTGGATGCCCCTGACGTGACAAATCACTTACCTTACTTGAATTATGTTATTTTCACAATTATTTTATGATTTTTATGTTTTCTATGGACCAGATCAAAGCAAGCAACTGAAATAGAAGAGCAAAGAATCGTAACATTCCCTTGTTTGCTCAATAACAGCTGTGATTCAAGGATAAATCAGAATGGTTGTTGGAGTTTTTCCAGTTGTCAAATTGGGGGTGCTTTTCATCAAGCAAATCAGCAAACCACTTGCTCAAGTAATAGTCAATCAAGCCAAAAACCATCCAGTTTTTCGAAGGTACTTCATCATACCCCCTGCCCAGTGTAAGTTTTTTTTATTGATTGCAATTAATAGTAATTGCTTAGATGATCAAATTATTCAGATACTGGAAAAAACCCTACTCTTATTAATTCAGAAAAATAAAAAATTCCTTATTTGTTATATACTTATAGTTTACCATTGGGCAGAAGTCAAGGCAAAAATGTATATTATGAATTTGGGAAAACCAACAAAAGTTGCTAAGCTCAATGAACAAATGGCTATTGAACTTGGTGCCAGTCTAATGGGTGAAGTTATCATATTTAGTTTAGCCGGAGGATGCATAGTGCTAGAGTACAATCGGCAAGTGGCCAAAGAAGCCAAAAAAGAAGAATTGAGGAAGATGCAGTTGCAAAAATTCACAGATGACATACAAGTGCTGTATGAAACAACTAATAAGCAAGAGGCTCAAATAAAATACCTGAAAAGTTCTCTAGAAGAGGTAGCAAAGAAAACAAAAACCAAACTTCCTGAAATAAAGGAAGAACCTAGTGATAAGTCTAATAAAGAAGAAAAAAGTAAAGTGTAATTAATTTAGCTCTTATGTTCTGTGAGACTAATGCTAAGAAAGACACAAAGACATAAGTTTACTTGGAGACTTTAAAGGCAAGTGACTTCTGATGAAAGAAGATGGTTCTTTTGAATTTGATAACTGGAACGATTACTTGTTGTAAAAAAAATGTAAATTTTTTTTTAATAAGAACAATGTATTCTACAATAATTGTATCACTGCGTTCATTTGTACATAAATCTATTTTTATTCATACAGTGTTGAATAATCTGAACGCCAGTGATGCTATGCTTATAAACTTGATGTATATACAGAAAAGAAATTAAAAATATAATCAGATTTGATAAAATAACTTTTTATTCATGATTCCACTTTAGTAAGTTATATTACTAGTCAAAAAAAAAACCATGTATCATATTTATGTGCACAATGAAATGCGTTCATGTGTTTATTTTGACATATATGTATTATTTTATAAATGTCACTTGCCTTTTGAAGAGCTTAAACCAATGATAAACTTTTTCAATTTGTACTCCCTAAATTATAGAAGTTTTTACTTGCCGGTGAGTCAAAACGTCTGAAAAGCATACCCTTTTTTTAAAAAAATAGTTAAATTTTAGAAAAATGAGACTTTTGTTTCATTTGTCGATCATTTACATGACTATTTAGATCTAATAAAATAGTCAAAAAATTTAACTGTAGAGAAGTGAAAATAGGAGATAATTGTTGATAATCATAAGTATTATTTTTTAGATGTTTAAGTCAATGAAGGCTTTTGGTAATGATTTGTAAAAATTCGGAAACATGTACTAAAAGGATGATTTATTTTGTCATTGAAAATTGTTATAAAATAAAGGTTCAACAACATTCTGAGGTATATTTATACGTATTCTAATGCTATAAAAAATATAACGCATCTGCATGTTTCCTACTTTTTTGTGACAACAGATATAGAAATGGTAATCAATCAATACAAATGCAACAATTGTAACTTTCGAGTTTCTGTCAATCTCAGCATACGCGCGTAAACTATTCTTGCTGAGCAGTAAAAAAATTTGATTCTCATTGAATTGTTTTCAATATTTATTTTTTTTTTTTTATTGTATTGGTTGCATTTTAAAAAACTTACTTACTTTGCAAATGTAAGCTTTTATAAAAGTCTTTGTATGATATAAAAATACAGTATGTCAGACACCTAGTATACATATTAATTTCATTTGTTTCAGAATTATAATTTTTGAAGTATCTTGATCGTAATTTGTAAAGCATGAAAACAAGAATCACCAAATTGATGCGTATAAAAGACTAGTTCTCAATCCTTAAAATAATTTCTCATTAAAGCGTTTAATACATATTGAGTTACATCTCCTACCAACTCTTTTTTTTTACTGCTAGTGAATAAAGCTATTCAAGTAGTAAGTATGTGAAGTTTTTAAGCGCAAGACTTTTTTTTAGATATGATAAAGTTTCGTGCACAATAATTAATTTAGGTCAGTGGTTTTTTAATTTTGATTTGTGATAAGAGTGTAAATAAATTTTCAAATTTATTCATATGCACTGTAAGTTTGACAAAGTGACACTAACTAATAGTCTTTGAATAAAAGCTGCTCTCTTGCTGCTGTAGTAAATAAACAAATGCTTTGTTTCACTGATACAAGAATTAATTAACTGGCTCTTGTAAAATTCTCACAAGAAACTAAATAAAATAAGAATAAAATACACCTTGTTACGAAACGTGACTTCTACTCTGAACAGCATCAACGAAACAGCGTATGCCATGTTTAAACTAATAGTAATAAAACAATACTATTTCAGCGTCTGACAACTACCTCAAATTTTGAGTCGCTGGCTCTTAATTTTTCTGCGCCGTATGAATTCTTGTAGACTAAATGTCATAAAGGGTTTAATGGCGCAGTGTGCAACGAATAACAGACACGGCAGCGATACGGCTATAATAAAACGACTAATGGCACTGCCAATGTCGAGCCAACTACCTTCAGTCGTTACGCCGTACATCAACGGTATCGCCAAACAGTCTCCCAACAAAAGTACAGCCGTGAAAATGCTCGAATCGGGAGATAATGTGCATATCATACTGCCCACAAGTATAAGCGGCATGGTAAATTTCAACAAAATAAGCGTAGCCATGGTGAAAGGAGAGTAAACGGTGAGGAAGTGTCGGGTCCAAGTTGGATCGAACGAGCTGAGGCTACTCATGTTGCCTGTGCCAAAGAAGCACAGTAGCGTATAAAGCATCTAGAATATCTTTGTTCAGGAATAATCAAAACCAGCATTGATTTTTCATACATACCTGCAATAAAAGATTTATCTTAAAATAAAAACTAAGGTTTTTTCAGACGTAAAGGATACAAAAAAAGCTGCAAAGGTAAAATCCCGTAGACTCAGAGCCTTTCCTTTGGATGCAGATTTTTGAGTGCATTCATAAACTGGCCAATGTCGCAGATGAGATGAGAATATTAAGAAGAATATTGGCTCATATGATGCAGACAAGAGTGCCAATGGACTGAGCAGTGCAACAGTTATACCGAAGCTTCTTTGGTTCCAATCTTTGGGATATAATAAAATAACTATTGGTGTGCTTAAAAGCAAAAGCCATGATAATCCAGATCTTCCATCGATTAAGTTAAAGCAAATGATTGATGTCAACGTCAAGCGAACAACTTCAATGATTTTATTGTATTTATATATTTTTCTATCCTGCCTCAATGGTAACAACGCTGTATAGACTAAGGCAAATATTCTGAAACAATGTCATAGTAATTCGTTAAAAAATATTAAATATTTATACACAAAAATCTTCAACTTACACAACATATACTCTTGGTTGAGGTCCGACTACTGGTAGCAGTGGAAACAGAGCTAAAAAGATTCCAGAAAATATTAACGCAAACGATGCGTTTCTGTCGAATATGACTTTTTGTAATCCAACAGCTATCAGCATGCTAATGCTAAAAGCCCATCTGTATATTAATCCCAAAAGCATCATCAAAATTAATGAAATGATCCCTATAAATTCTATCAACGGCTTGTTGGAGTTTAATTCAAAATTTGGTCCTTTGTTAATCACAGCTCTAAATGCGACCCACAATGAAGCGCCACAAACGGCACCATATCCGAAAAGTCTCCATTCCTTACAACCTATAACTTTATTGAACAATAAAAAATATCAATTATTAGATTCTTCAATTAAAATAGATAAAATGGAGTCATCAGTTCTATAGATTTATAAATCTAAATTTATATTACCTAAGTACTCTATCAACAATGGTATTAAAAAGACTGCCAATGCAACATCAGCAACGCGCAACCACGTGAAACAGCCTAGGTGAATAGCTCTTCGAGGTTCACCCGATAAATCGACAAAAAGGAATATAATCCAGCCAACCCACATGAATGCTAAGCAAAGTGAGAATCTACCAGTTTGGTAGCGCCGATAATATAAGAGGGTTTCTTTAGCCAAGCTAGTAAGATGCTTAATTTCTTTAATGGAATGCTTTATCTCTCTTTTACTCAATAAATGTTCAACCTGGACGATTTTTTTTTCAAATTCTTTGTCTTTGGAGTGCATATTGACTATGGTATTGCCCACTGCTAATTCGCGATTTGCCACAACTTGCTTGGCAAGTTGTTTAACATTGGCTAAAAATGCCTTTGCAGTATATACTTCATTTTTAGAGTCCAGTAACTCGTATGGCAGCACACCCTAGAGATTATTATTATGCATTTATCAAAAATTACCTTGTTTCTTAATGTCCAAATGTGTGCAAAATATTTACTTCATTATTAACAGGAACCGGTATTCCGATCAGTGTTGAAATGAAAGGCGCCAAGTCAGCTTGTTCAACATTGTACAAATGAGAACTTTTAGCTATACCAGCACCCCAAGCCACCAACGGAGTTTCAGTTTCATCGGTTGAACCACTACCATGAGATCCCCAGTCGGTCATGCCGTGGTCTGATGTAAAAATATAAGCAGTGCTATTGTCGTTAAAAAATTCTTCAGTTCTTTCGACCACTTTTTGTAAATTGCGATCCACATTCATCATTACTTCTATGTATTCTCTGTACAGTATTATACATTTTGATTAAATACATTTTTTTTCAATTATTAAATATAATACATGTAAATTGAAAACTGTTTAACTAAGTTGTTTAACATAACACAATAATGGATTAGAATCTGGATGAAAAAATGTCCATCTGTATTTTAGTTTAAATATGGTTCAAAACACAATTAGTCTTAAAAAAATTAAAACATTTTCAATAGTTTTATTTTTACTTTTTCATCTTTTTTTTTTTTTTTTTTTTTTTTTTTTTTTGCATTAAGATGTAGCAAAATTGCAATGAAAATAAACTGAGTAGTGTATTAAAAAAATTTATTGACATGAAATCTAAAAACTTGTCAAACGAGATATTTTGAAAAATTTTATTTAAGATTGCTTATTAAGTGAAGAATGAAAATTTACCTTGATTGTGGTTTAAATGCATGTCCACTTGTATCACAGCCAAGTAAGTGAAAATAGATTACAATTTTATCTTCAGTCTTGTGCATAGGTGCTTCATCTGTTAGCCATTGTAAATATTTGTCAAGTACCCAGTTATCCAAATGTTTTATGGCACTATTATTATTACTAAAATCTTGCCATTCAGGAGGATAACTTGATCCATGTATGTTGCCTCTTTGATCTAGTGACAATTATTGAGTTTTAATAAAAGAAGCATTAACAAATGTAAAACAAAAATTTTTATGATTACTCTTTGTAAACAGCGGGATTATATCAGGACTTCCCCAAATCCATGAGGCACGACTTTCGTTGAACACGGAGTCAAAATCCACTGGATTTTCCTTCCAGCCTTTAAATAAAGCACTTGGATCCTCATACAAACCAGCAACAACGGCAATGTTTCCTGGCCTTGATTCAGTAGGCATTCGTGTGTGGGAAATACCCCATACACCTTTGTTCTCAATAATAGAACTGCAAAACAATAATGATGTCAAAAAGGAAATACAAAAAAAATTTATTTGAAAAGTTACCTCAAGTAGGGTGGAGTGTCGTGCTTGAAAGTTCTGTAGCGCAAGCCATCGGCAAGAAAAACGACAACTCGCTTTGCCGGTGGGCTACTTGGCATTGGAACTGCAGACAAATTTGTTACAATGGGCGAGTGGAAATTAGCATCCATGACGCCCCATAAAAAAATTAAGTGCATAAAAAATCCCCATAATATAACAAAGGTGATGTTGCTGCGAGTTATCTTGTAATTTTCTTTCATATTGCTAAGCTGTAAATTACGAGTTTGCGAGATCAAATACCTATTTAGAACCTCTAACTTAATGAACGCTAATGTTTATCTATATGCCATTACTCTCTTTGCGGTTTAGTAGTTGTTCACTGTATAAGGTACAGTATATCTTGATGATTGTCAAAAAAACTTGGTAAATACATACAAGATATGTAGATCTCAAATAAGTTTGATTGTTTCATACGCGTTTGAATAATCTTTAAATAAAAGGATTGAATTATTACAATTTCTTATCTTTTTTTTTTTCAACAACAAACCTTTTTTAGAAAAATTTTGGTATTTGAATATGTAAAGTTGTATATCTTGTTGTCTTGTACATACTGTTGTGTATGTACAGTTTATACAGAGCGCCATCTATATAATTCTAGTAGTACTTAAGTGTATGACCGTCATGACCGATGCTGCGCTGCTGCTGCTGGCTGCTCCGCTGCTGCGCATCAGTCTACAAGTTAGTTCAGGTTAGTTGAATACAAGCTACCAGCCTGTACAGACGACATATATAAACGACGGTAAGGGTTTTTGTATGAAGAGGACAGCAAGGCTGTACAACAATAAATTCAGTTTAACTTAATAAATATAACCGACAGAGTGTTTTTCCTTTTACCTAATTTCCTGTACCCTAGCACATAATGGTAAAGAAGCAGTCTCGCGCAGTGGACACGGCTATGCTGACAGGTTATGGGCCCAGCACGCTTCCACTGCGCGGGACTGTCTTCTTTTCTCCTTCGCGAGTGGTTTTGTGCCGGGGATCTCGTGCTTCCGTCTTCTTTGTGTGAGCCCTGAAGTGAAAGGCTTTTATTTGTATAGTGAGCTACTTTCTTTTTCATTCTTTGCTAAACATGAGTGCGAATGAGCAAAGCGAAAATCTCGAGTCTGAGACCGAGGTTGTGGACGACGGTGAGGTGGTACCACCAGCGACGGGAGCTGCGGCCGAGGAGGCCCAGGAGGAGCAGGCAGAGCAAAGGCAGGAACGACGGACGACCGAGAGAGAGGAAAGGCCAATGAGAGACGTGGCGTGCCAGGTAAACAGTAAGTCGTTTTTCCCTCTGTAACTGCGAGTGGCGGCGGATGTGTTTGTGTGGTCGCATGTGGCCTCTGTCGTCCAGGAACTTCCGGGTTAGGACTTACCCCGGGAGAGGAGGTGAGCGGGCGTGGGGACGGTTTGGCGGTGTTGTGCCATGGTTGCTGTCGCGGGTGTCCGGGGCGCCGGTTTTGTGACGGGGACGCCTGGCCTCACCCGCGTGCCGGGACGCCATCACCGCGGCGCAATCATGGCGATCGGCCCGCTTCCGCTCTCTACAGTCCCGGAATGCACGCGCATGTGCTGTGTCCGCATGTGTGCGTGCACGCATGGGCAGCCAAGACGCCATCTTATCTCTCCTTAACTTTATCCCGGCGCGCCGAAACGTATGTGTTCTACGTTTTCCTGTGTGTGCCAGGAGGGGAGGGGAGAGCGGCCTGACCTGGCGACTGGTTGCGCGCGTAATGGGCGTAATGGTTACATAGATTGTGTGCGCAAAGACGAGGATACACATGTAACGACGGTTTTTTTTTAGATGAGGAAGTAATCGACGCATATATGCGACTCTTCCAACTGGGGGCGGACATTTGTGGAGAAGATCTCGTGAGGGACTTATCCGTGAGAATAGACGACAGATTGATTATATATGCAAATAAGAAAGAGTCGATCGCAGCTATCTCAAAGAATAACTTTAAGCCATCAGAGTTTGACAAAATATCACGTGCGATCAAAAATTCTGGCGGTGTTATATTTCTGTCTGCGAAAAACACTGAAAGTCTGAGAACTCCAAAAGGCATGGACGCGCTTGATTTCTTACCCGGGTATTTAAAGAGAGCAACATTTAAAACGACGGAATTGAAAAGGACTGATTTTCTGACTGATAAAAAGACAGACGATGAGTTTGATGACGAAATGCATTTCGGTAAATACAACGACAGAACACCAAAAGAGAAATTAGCGAAATCAGATTTTCCAAGACAGTTGAAGATTGTAAAAGACGAAAAGGTTGCTTTTAAATACGACAGGAAAAAGGACAGACTTGTCACTCAAACACAAGTCATTAATAACTACTCAAGACAGACGACTGATAAAAGTGAATTTCTAGTTACAAGGAGAACGGCTGCAGAAGAAAGGGCGACCTTGCGACGCCAAATAGATTGGCTGGAGGAACGACAGAAGGCGGAGCATCAGAGTACACTGAGGACCACGACAGAGACAGCAGATCGGCTGAGGGCTGTAGAAGAGGCAGTGTCGGCTATCTCCAGACTGACCGAACGACTGGAAAACTTCATGACAGCACAAAAGGTAGGTCAATCAGATGCCTTAAACTCAACGGCTCTATTCTCGTCGAAACAAAACCACGAGCATAGAATTGATCCTCTTTCGGAAAAGGTCTTTAACCCTACATTGCATGACAGAACGACTGATCTTGATCGGAGTGAAAGGTTTCAACTCGAATTGTTGAACAAGGACTCATCTTCTCGTTACGATTATAAATTTACCTCTAAAACGAAGATAGAATTATTTCTTGATAAATTATTTTCAGAGTTAAAAATTAAAAGACTGCTGCATGTATTAGATGACACTATTGAATTTCCCACATTTTTGTCACCCAAAGAATTAGATTATCACAAAGAAAGCGTAGGACATATCATAATTAATCACATTGATGATTTATATCACTTAAAGACTGCTCATTATTCTAACCCCAAAGAACTGTTGAATAAACTGAAAGAAATTAAAAGAAATGAGACTAACTTGTCGTCGAACGAGATCAGACGAAAACTGTACATCTTTCGGTATTTCCCCTATAAAATGACAGGGTCGGACTTCGTTGATAAATTTGAAGAGCTCCTCAGAAGCTACGAAAATTTACAAGGGAAACAATCCTTGTCCGAAGAAGAGATACGTGACGCATTCTATAATGCCGTCGTTAACAACGTATCACAGATTGAAATCCTTGACGCCATGATCGAAAATGCGCAAGGAAAGAGAATGAGCTATGACCGCTTAAAATCTTTCTTTTTAAAGACTGAGTCGAGACGACAGAGAGCCCGAGCAACAGGGGGAATTGCCTCAACAACGGCGCTGCGGGTGCACCAGCCGAATTCAACGCACGACAACACCCG